TATATGTATAGCCTATGCAGTCTAATTTGTGTCCTCAAATGTCTTTTGCTGTGGATCCATCCATTAACTTAGCAAGAATCCCATCTCTGAAAGAGATTGTTTATCCCCCTCCCAGCAGTCAGCAGCTGCCAATAGTTGCTCAGATAGGGTCGAGGTGTTTTACCCACCTCCCCAAATCTATGTTGGGATTCTGTCTAGTTTGAGCTTGCATGGGATTTGTGCAAGCTGTCACCATTGCAGTGAGTTCATATGACCAACTAACTAGCCATCTGGGAAACTGTTTTCTTGTGGTCATCTACCACCGCTGGCTCTAAGAATCTTTCTGACCTCTCTTCCACAATGACTCCTGAGCCTTGGGAGGCAGAGGATTGATACAGGTGTCCTGTTCAGGAATAAATGTTCTGCAGCATCTTGTTCTCTGCATGTAGGATAGTTGTGGGTCTCTGTGCCAATCACTATCTGTTGTATAAGAAAACTTCTCTGGTGAGAGTTGAGAGATGCATTAACCTATGGATATAGCACTACGTCCTTATGAGCCAAATTAATACTATGACCATTTAACAGAAAACTAGTGTTGGGCTCTCCCCTATGCCCTGTGACATGACTAGCCTTAGGTCACCTGAAATCATCATCAGGTATCGGCTCCATCCAATAAAGTGAACCTTATTCAATCAGAAAGTGGTTGGTTTCTCCCATAATGTTCATGCCACAGTTGCAGCAGTGGACATAGCTTACCTGACAGTTGTTGTAGGTCACAGGGTTCACAGCTGGGTAAGTCTGATGATCATTATTTCCCTTCCTGTTAGCATGCATAGCACGTTCTGGTACTATAAACACTAGCCAGTAGAGATGAGGCTCTGAAGTCAGCACCAGCTTGATTTCTCCTTGTTTGATCTGCAACTCATGTATGTAGTGTCTTCAGCAATAAAGTCTTACTCTGAAGTTCTAGTGGGTAACCAAGAGCAAGAACAATAAACAGTATTGTTTGAGGGTCTATGGAACCCTCGTCCACACCTTCAAGAGAGGGAATCCATTCCTGGCTTGGGGTTTTATTTATTAGCCTATGGTGTCTAGTAGAGACACTCTCCC